ATATGGGGTTTGCTTCTTGTTTTGCATACAGTAGCTTGCCCTATGGGTATTGGTGGGAGTGTGGTTTTCTCTACAGTGGCGCCTTCATATCCCTCTACTTATGACCATAACCGGGACCAGAAAATCAGTTGTTAAGTAAGGCATCACATGACTGCACCCAATTGTATGAACTTTTTGGCTGCAATTATTAAATAAACCATTGAATCATCACATGACCAAGATTTGTTACTTTCCCAATTGACTTTGCTTATCAGAAGTCAGCTGGGAAGGTTACAAATGATGATCATGAGAACATGGGATATGGCAGCCATAATAAATGCACCACAATTGCCAAGCCTCCAAATCACAATGACATGCCATGATATTTTCAGCACTCTCATAACTTCAAATGGTAGCTAACCAAATGATCATATGTCATACCCGAAGCGTATTATTTTTTATTGAATTGTCTGGTGTTAATGCCTTCATTATCTGAGCCTTTGCTACTAGAGAGTATGTGTTTTGGTCTGTTTATTGTTTTTCTTAGCTATTTTTTCTTGGCCCTTTGGAATGGTATGTAAATGTGGTTTACGTTGTGTGTCTGTTAATAGCTGATTTGTCTGAATGCCAAGCTTCCAGGAATTCCCTAGCATTTTTGGACTTAGCTTGGTCTAGGATGCTCACACTTTCCTAATTGAAACTAGGGTTGAATTTGTGCACGTGTTGTGAGAGTAAGGAGTTTTCTTTGTGTCTCCTGACTTCTAGTTGGTGTTCATGGATAGGGTCTGCCAGTCTGTCCTACATAGTGACTAGTACAGTCTGTATGTTGTAGATCGGGGTGTCCAACTCACATCATCATGGCTGTGTCACATGATGTATCGGGATTTCCCCCACTTCACTAAATCGGGCATGGGCAGGGCTAGCATGTGACACATCCGGCCTGCAGGCTGGGAGTTTGACAGCCCTGTTGTAGATGATTCTTGTTTTTTCTTCTTGGGCTATTGAATCTTTAAGTTTACTTAAAAATTTTTGGAAGGATTTATTTGGTTTCTGTGATGCTGTGTGGTTGAAATATTAGATATACCGTAGTTTAGTTATCTATATTCTGCTGTGAGTGTGTGGGTTCTTTCATTGTACAAGAATGGGGATTAAATCAGATAGAAAAATAATGTATAGAAGTGTTATTTTTTTCGTAGCTTGTGTTAATCGTTCTACAGTTGGTTGGGTGGTCAGGCACTTTTTATGAAAACCATTACAATACATACAAGTGTTCAAATCACTACAGAACAACTAAACATCAAATTCAGAAGTAAAGGATCTTTCTTAGCCTTGCTGACAGACAGTAACTAAAAAGTACAAGGACATTCAAAACATATGTACTATCAAGGAACCATTGCTGATTCACACTGTCCATCATATGAATATAATAATATATTCAATGAACATAGTCTGAAGTATTGAAACATTTTTATAATGCATATGCTCTTGAAATAAATTTTCTGCCCTCTAGTGGTTATTTCACAAACATATTTGAGTTTAAGATGAAAGGAAAGTTAAAATTATTTGTTTTACTGTAATTCATCACCCACACAGTCTTCAAATTGAGGCAAAACAATTAAAAATAGATTTAAAACAATATATAAAAATACAATTAGTTATTATATAGCGTATAAAAGATATACTTCAATAACTTAGGCTTAAGCAACTTGCTCTTAGAGTTAGTCTTCCTTAAATCTGGTTTAAATAACTTAAACAAATTTTTAAATAACTTAAATAACAAACAATGGTTAAACTTAACACACAGAGAGAAAAGTCTTTATAAATATGTCCATAGGATAATAGTACAATTAGCACTAAAAAGTATTAGTCTCTGAGATAGTTTAGTAGGATCCTTTCAGATAGGACATAACTAGGTTTATGACCAAAATTGTGCTTACACCACCAAAAATCATTAATCCAAGCATTATTTTTCTATCTGATCTACTCCCCTATCTCCCAATAAAAGAAACCACACATTTCACAGTAGAATATAGTTAACCAACATTTTAGCTCCTTTTAAGAACTAAAGCATACCTTGGCTGATAGGCACATTTGAAAATTGAAGCAATGTTTGACTGTGATAGAAGGATTTTTGTGAGTTTAAAACATGGCTGCAAAAGTGGGAATTGCCAATCATTAACATAAAGGCCCTAAGACGAACTAGTGAGATTTCTCTCCTCATAACCTTCTAAGTTGTCATCTGTCACTCTTTTCAAGGCTTTAATTTTTTTCTGGAAAAATGGTCTTTACTCCCCCACTATTATTATTTTCAAGGAATTTATGGGAGAACTACAGGCCATCTTGAAAGCAACTCTCGTGATGCTATTGCTTAATTTACTAAAGGAGAAAAGGAAAAGTGTCCAGAAGTGCCAATGTTGCCAGTATGGCTGTTTGATTTGTGCCATGAAGAAGGGTGGGTGTTGCGGCCTCATTGGCACCTATGAGAAGCTCCCTTGTGGTAAGCCAAGGAAATCTCACATTACTGAGTACAGTATATGTGGAAATGAATCAGAAGATGGATGAGAAGTTACCTCAGATTTTTATTTCACTACTGGCAGAAGTGAGTGGAAGAGAGACAGAAAACAGGGAAGTGCATGCTTATTGATGTTGTTTCTTTTATTTTTGAGGTGAAGGAGAATATGGTGGCCAGAGGAGGAGTCAAGCCACACGTTTATTCTCTGCTGTGATTAGGATAGCCGCAGTCACACTGTGGCACTGTCCTCCATTACATCAGATGTGCCCACAGTTAATTACAAGTTACCTTGCTGAATTTGCTGCAGTAAGAAGTGTATATTTAACAAACCAAAATGCAATACAAGAAGCTGGTGTGGTTCTTGTGGTTGTGTTTAGGGCTAGTTTCAGAGCACTGCAATATTCATGTTATTCTTTTTATACAAACCATTTGAGGGAAGAGACACTATTAATACCTCCAGGTTTAAAAAAGGATCTCTCTTATTGAAACAACAGGTTGGAAAGGACTAGAAATGTAATATAATTATGTGTGCTGTGATTTTGAACGTTCATCAAAATAGAGGGAAATAACATTTAATCTATTGTTGCTTTCGAATATACAACTATGGCATCCTGCAGCAGAACATCCCAACTTGGTGTTCTCCATAGGCATTCAGAATAAAATTTACAGAATTTTAGGAATTGCCCTCTGACTAGTTAAGTCCATGCTTAATTTTGAATTACTCAAATTAAATAGTGCAATTTCTATTGATGTGTCAAATAAAAAGTTTAACCCGAAATTAACTTTGGAAGGTAATTGGCTCTGGACTTACTCCAGAAAAGCGATGCAGAAGAGACAAAACAGCTGCATTTCCTATGCAATACAGGGCAGGTGGTTCTTCCCTCTTGTCCTTGCTATTGGGATTTCCCCTTTCCTCCTAAAACCAGGGTCCCATGGTACTTAACAAGCCATTCTGCCATCTTTGTCTTATCTAAATATGGCTTTGCCAGTGGCTGCTTTTCAAGCTAATTCAAGGGTAAACAGCACAGCAGAAGATAAAAGTTGTTTCAAACATTCCATCATTGGCCAACATGGAAGTACGCTGGATGACTGAAATAGAAAAATGTGAAGATACTCCAAGCAACTACAGAAAAACTAGAGAGCTGGGAGAATGAACTTGGGAGCCATGTGAAAGGGGCCTTAGTGGTTCATTTCAGAGTGGATTTGATTTAAATCAAGTCGATTTAAAGCATGATTTAAATCATTACTAAAATAGCTTGATCTAAAACAACTCAATTTAAGTACTGATTTTTAAAGAGCAGCTGTCATCTCTGTCCCGCAACAGCTCCTCTAACCCGCTGTTGACTCACCGACAGTCCCAATATTGCAGAATATACAGCCTCATGCTACATAACTAAGCTCCATTTCATGCTGAATAAACTAAATTATTAATGTATCTGAAATAGAAAACTACCTTTAGATAGATTTTTTTTTCCCAAAAGCATTTTATTAAAATAAATTTGATAAAAATAAAACATCTGATTTAAATTTTAAAAATCTGATTTAAAATTTAAAAATTATCCATTTTTATCCACCCTCGTGTATTTATTTTACATAGTTTACGAGATATACTGAAGGTCTGGATTCAGTTTGAGTCAACCTAGATGTTTATCAAAGATTCTTGAGAAAGGTATTTCACTTCTGGATCGATCCTGGTTTGTTCTATCTTTAATATTGTTAAATATAACAAGTTCAGTTAGGAGATCTACTGAAAATTCTAGTAAAAAAAAAGATTTAGAAATAAAATTTTCAAAGGCATCCGCTGTGACAGTTTTACCTCAAACTCTTAATTGTTTCTAAAATATGTTAGTTCAGTAGTTATGGATACAGAATACAAGAACTGGAATATGCTGTGTATAAAGTCCTGGATTAAGGTTGAGGAGAGATTGATTTCAATCAACAGCAAAGAATCCTTGATGATTGATTTTGGGGCAGGCAGTTTTTCTCAGCCAACCTACTTCACAGGACTGCAGCTCAGAATAGAAGATGGAGTCAGAGCCCCACATAAGAACCTAGAAGTCCTGAAGGAAAGCAAGGATGTATTAAAATTTTAATTTTTTTTCTAATACTACACAGTACAAGCGTAGAGAATCATATATTTGTAAGGAGATTTTAAAAATTATCAATAAATAAAATATTTCTGTCTTTGCTAGCCACATGAGAAGATATTGGTATATCTAAGATGCAGAATAAAATTTCAAAAACCTAAAACCTAAAAAAAAAAAGGTGCTGATAGCTATTTGAATATATTACCTGTATTATATTTATTGTCTTTGTCCAGTCACACTGATTATTCTGGGAATAAGGAGTACTAAGTCGTAAAGTGGGAGTTTTTCATTGTCTTTATAGGGCCATATTTAATAGTGCTGTGATACAAATTTACAAGATTTATGGTCGCTTTTGTAAATTTATGGTAATTAAAATAATATTTCTCTCACACTTTTTTTTTTTCAAAACAGAAACAAAGCACATGATGGCCTTAGTTCTGCTAATTTCCACTCTTGCCTTCAGCCTCACAAATGGAATAAATCTACAAGATTTTAGCTGGCAGTTAAAAAAAATACCACAGATTGTGAAGGAAAAGACTTTCTTCCTTGACACTCCTAAATATGAAGCCAGTGCCAAATTAGAATTGAGCGGTGTGTGTGGGATTGAATGCCAAAGGACACTGCCAGTGCCACGTTGGTCTGATCTGAAGGAGCTGCTTTCCTATGAGACAGTCTTTGAGAATGGCACGAGGACCTTGACAAAAGTGGAGGTTCTGGGGATGGAGCCCGATGCAGTTGTAAACATTACTACTAAGATGCCAGCAAGAAGGAAGAGACAGGTCTATGGCACAGACAGCAGATTCAGCATTTCAGACACTCGCTTTCTGACCAACTATCCTTTTAACACCGCAGTCAAGATCTCCACAGGCTGCAGTGGTATCCTTATATCTCCAAAGCATGTACTCACTGCTGCCCATTGTGTGCATGACGGTAAAGATTACATTAAAGGCACCAAGAAACTGAGAGTGGGGCTGTTGAAGTTGAAATCCAAAGGCAGTGGCAAGAGACGAAGGGGAGCCAAGAGGAGCAAGAGGGAGATCCCAGAAGTCAAAGAGGATGAGGTTGACTCCAAACTCCAGAAAAGGAGATCTGGCGGTAGAGCTGGAAGAAAACAAAAGACTCTTCCTGTGTTGAATGAGAGGAAGTCAGAGCGTAAGCCATCTTTCCAGTGGACCAGAGTTAAAAGTACTCAGATCCCCAAAGGCTGGACAACAGATGTGACAAGAGATGTTGCAGTAGATTATGACTATGCAGTTTTGGAACTCAGGCGTCCCCACAAGAAAAAATACATGGAACTTGGCATCAGCCCGAATAGCAAAATGATTCCTGGAAATATGATCCACTTTTCTGGATACGATGCAGACCGAGCTGGCCAACTGGTTTATCGCTTTTGCAGCATATCTGATGAATCCAGTGATCTCTTCTACCAGTATTGTGATGCTGAGCCTGGTTCTACTGGTTCAGGAATCTACCTCCGCCTTAAGGAACCAAACAAGAAGAAATGGAAACGCAAAATCATTGGCATTTATTCTGGCCATCAGTGGGTGGATGTTAACGGAGAACAGCAGGATTACAATGTTGCAGTTCGAATTACACCCCTCAAATTAGCTCAGATTTGCCTCTGGTTAGGGAACAATGACACCTGTGCACAGGGCTAATGATAATGCAGGATCACCTAATATCTAGTAGGGTTAGGCAATGGAAGTCATGCGTTGACTTGCTTTGGTTGTATTTGAACTTGACATCAGAAATTAGATTTCTTTGTATTGAGGAACAACAAAAAACAAATAACTCAGCTTTTATGAGAATTTTTTCTGCTAGGTTAATTAACCATAGACATGAGGTGCACTTAAATCCCAGGTTGTGTATGTATGTATGTATGTATGTATGTATGTATGTATTATGTATGTATATGTCTCCCTCTCTCCCTCCCTCCCTTTCTCTTTCTCTCTGTCTTCTTACACACACATATGTAAGTATAAATCATTCATACTAAAGAACAAATATTCTTTGGTCTTTCAGTTTATTATTCAGTTAACACTTTGAAGAAAAGATTCTTCTCTGGTAACTGGTATTATTAAAACATTTATTATTTTATTTCCAACATGTTAACTTATCTCAGGGTTCTGCTCAAATAAGCATCACACATTCATTATTGAAACATAGAGAGGTAAAAATGGTCTTCACACTTTGATGGTCCTACCAAGTTAGTGTTTAAGTATTTCTAAAGTTTGGGAAAACCATTTTCTTGAATTCTAAACCAATAAATGAAGCTTAATCAAAGTGGCATGTTCCCAATTTGAAGAAAAGAGAACCATGTAATTTAAATGCCATTAAATTATATTTAGAAAATAAACAAAAATTGTATTTGTTTTATTCAGTCACTATTTTGAACAAATCCCTGCCTTTTAAAATATCACAATGGTAACATGAGATACACAAGTTGCACTGTTTCCCAACCTCAACAACATGGGGCTATGAAAACTTCAATTCCTAAAATGCTTAGCAGGGGTTATGCTGGCTGAGGATTTCTGGGAACTTGAAGTCCACTCACTTAAAGTTGCTGAGATTGGAAAACCTTTATTAGGATTTATCAGTGAACCTTTCTTTCTTCAAATGATAGGCCATTGTGGAAACAGTTCTTCAGATTTCCACAACTACCGAAGCCAATAATTACCGGTATTTGTTAATTAATCATGATCTAATGTTGTTTACAGAATTTGTAGGTTAACATTTAGGTAAATGTATTACTGATTTCTTATGTATAATTCTTCTTATAAGAATTCTTATGGGTTCTTTTACTAGAAAAGGATTTAAGGTAAGCTTGTTATTTAAAATGTACACATTTCAGTAGTTTTTCAAAATAATATCTCCTGTGCTTTCTGCTTCAAGGATTGTCATGTATGTGAAGGCCATTTGGAGAAAACAAAATCATCGGAACTCTAATATGTAAAGTTAAGGTGAAATATTCCTGGCCGTATGTAATCTTGGTTTTATTAATATTATAATTATTTTAACTTGAATTGATCAACATTTTTGTAAAAAAATGTGTAATAAGAAACAAAGTTTTTAAATATATGTATAAATGTGAAAATCACTAAATTCTTAAAAGCACTTCAGTGTGAATAAAATATTCTTAAATTTGTTTTTTGCTATAACTTTTGAAAAAGTATTAAATGTAGAATTGACATTTTATTATTTGAAATGTTCATTTCAAAATATTCCATATCAGATTAATTATAATCTACAAACCTTATAGAGAAGTATTCTTATTTTAAATTATTTTTATGAAATATAATATCCTTAATATTATAATATCCATAAGAAAAGAAAGAAGACAATTGTACATCATGATGTTCTCAAAAGATATAAAACATACTAAAGGTTTGCAAGACTAATTTAAAACTAAATTTTATTTGTCTGGAAAATGTGTTCTAGTTTCTGTTATACTCAACAAAATATTAAGCACAATTCACAGGCAATGGATATTCCAATTCAATAATATCACAGGTTTCCTACCAATGGCTTAATAGTATTCTCAAGCAATCATAAGACATCCCTCTTCAAAGAACTATATGTTCTATGTCAGAGTATGAATTGGTATCAATTACTGAAGTACAGTGTGAAAATAAGAAAGTGAAAGTTGCATGTTATATTGCTGATCACTGGATTTACTGGATTTAAGAACTGGAGATTAATTGGGGGGAAATTATGTAATATTTTTAATAGATGGGAACCAGAGGAAGAAAAATTCATCTAGGTGTCATAAGTGAATGGGGAAAAAAGGAAAAAATGCAAAACTCCGTAGGGTTACTGTATATACAATATCTCTTTGTTTAATATGGGATTTAAGCAGAAATCAGCTCATATGTACAAATGGAAAAATAATACATATAAATATAAAAGCATTAGTTTATTACAAAAATAGAAAATTAGCAAAGGACAATGTACGAATGACAGTTAGGGATGTGCAGACTACTCCATACACACAGATAGATAGCTTTTGAACAATCTATGAATAGAGTGAAACATGCACGCACAATATTGTTTGCTGTAATTGGAATCTGGTATGCTTTGGATAGAATCCCAATTACAGCCCACCCACTCCCGAAATTTGGATAGCTCAACCCTGTAAACTTTGCAAGGTGTAGAAGTCCTGGCTAGTTGTTTTATATAACTTGTCCCGGTATGTGGGAAAGATCTTGGGAGATGGAGGGAAGAGATGTTGCCTAGGGAATAGTCAGATAAGAGGCAGCATAGCCCACAGAAAGAAACTTCCCTAGGTTCTTGGACTATAAAGGTGATAGTGGAAGAATTGTACTTTCAAACTTGTAAAATATCTGGTTGTGTCTCCTGCCTTGTCTAGGCCCTGGTTCAAATTGATAGATGGCCACTGCTGTCAGCAATATATCGTTTCTGTTTATCATTGGACACCTGCGGTTATTTATTGGGGTTTTGTTTCTCTGTCTTAATCCTTATGAGTAACCCAAAACCTCACTTGTGTGAGATGGGCAGTTATATAAATTTTACAAATATATAAATAAACTGTAATTTTAATCCCTCGCAAAGAGATCTTCTTCCTTTAGTCCTTTACACAAGAGACTAAGGGGGAAAATCTCTGTGAGGAGCTAAGAGAAAAAGTTTTTAAAATGCACAGGCCATCCAGAGTGCCTAGGGCATTATTTTTCCATCTGATCTACTTCTACTAAAAGAAACCACATACTCAGAGCAGCATGTTGTTTTAATGTACAGGGAACGGATGGGATGTCAACTGATATTCAAATGCCACTCTTGATCAGGTACTCCAAGAATTTTTTAAAAAGTTCCATAGCATGAAAAAATAATCTGTTCAGCAGAGAATATGTATCACTGCAAATTTGCTGAGCAAGGAATTATATCTCCTGCTGCCAGGAAAGCCACCAAGATACAGGAATATCTTAGACATATGTTAAAATTGGATGTTTACAAGTGACAAAAGACCAAAAAAAAACAAAAACCTGCACTTTCAATTGAAGACGGCTGCCTTCCAAATGGAAATGACAAGTTCCATAAATATTCCACAAATATAGACTGAGAAGATGCATCGCAAGACCTTTCCTACATCAAGAGTAACGTACTAATGAGAGGGATAAAAAAACATAAAAGAAAAAATACTATATAAACAGACTGTACATTTTTCAGACATCAAGGCATTCGTTCCAACAAGGTTATTAAAGTGTAGATCATTGTTACCACTTCAAAGTAATCCATATTTCCATTTTATCAAATCCTATAATTAGAACAAGGGCAAGTCCAGGTGAAAAGTTCTAATTCATTTGAGGTCCAAAAATGAGTTTGTGAATAGTCTTGAGTGTGCCTTTCCTTATCTTTACCATAGTTATTATGTGGCTGTGGTGGTTGCAATTAAGCTTCCTGTTCCTTGTGGATACAAGTTTTAACCCACAACTGAAAGAACAAGAGACATATTCAGACAATGATCATCTCCACGCAGTATTATACAATATAAAGCCTCTTCATCAATGATGCACTGTCACAGTGCTTGGCTGGATGGAATAATGTTAGTGTTATAAAATTATAAAATGTTATAAATCTCTACAATTAAAATGGTCATTATTGCCATTTTCTCTTGATGTACAATGTATTTTCACAGTGCAATTTAAAATCCACATGAAAAGGTAAGAGTTTCTTTCAATCCATGTTATGTACACATATACATAATATAAGCATATATTACATAAGTTATTTAAAAAAAAAACACTTGGAGGACAATCAATTAACTTTCTGTTTCTTGTGCCATTCTTAACTCAACAAAAGAATGGCTAGTTGCGTACATTTAGACAGTGAAAGATTTTATGGAACTATTTTTTCATTTTAGTTTGTTAACAAATATGAAACTCAGTGCAGTATGGAATACATAGATATCCAACAGGGTAGTTTTTCTCTCTAGTTTTACATAAATGTAAGAAAGTTGGATCAATTGCATGCTAAAAGTACTGGATTATTTCCTGGACATTAATCTCAATCTGAAGTTTTTTTCATCAATTAAAGAAATCAATGGGATGAGAAAGTAAAGAGGTTATAGAAATATAGTGTGACTGTAGCAAGGTGTATTCTGAAGCAGTAAGACTAAGGTTAGCTATAAATCTGATCTGTGCTGAGATTAACAAAATTATAAATAAAAGATAAATATAAAATAACAGCAAAAAGACAAATCTGTCTCTTTAATTTTTATTTTCTATACTTCATAGTTTCTCAGCAAGAATTGTTTTTGTTTGGAAAAATGAATTCTTACTGATAATATCATGGTATGGTGACATTTACATAGGGTTCTTGTCACACAGCAATCAAAGCTTTCTCAAAAGCAATTCTATGTTTCCAGATAAATCTGGTATTCACAACCCCATACTTGAGTTCTCATTTCATAAATGAGATTTTGCCACTGCTATTAAGTATGCCCTTAAGCATCTCAATATATGTGGTGGAAAGTCAACATTAAGCAGGAAAATAGAATGGCAGGATGAAATTTCAGTAGGGAGATGCCTGGTGCTCCTATTCTATGCCCAGAAAGAGGATAAATCTCACTTTGGAAATAAAACTGAATTAATTTTATCCACCGAGCTGGCCATAATGTGCATCAAATGGGAATCTGTTTATCTATATCTATATCTATATATCTATATCTAATCTATATCTATATCCATATCCATATCCATATCTATATCTATATCTATCATCTATCTATCTATCTATCTATCATCTATCTATCTATCATCTATCTATCTATCTATGCAGAAACAGCTTTTGATTAATGGCTAAGGTTATGTAAACATTTGCTGCTCTAGATGAAGGCCCTA